TACCAAACTTTGAACCCTATTACAAAGCTGTAGTAATAAAACCACCTCGGTAATTGCACAAGAATAGGCCCAAGGTCCAATGGAACAGAAGACCCAGAAATGAACCCACAGATCTATAGCCATGTAATATTTGATAATGGAGCCAAAAGTACAGGATGAAAGAAAGACAGCCTCTTAAACAAATGGTGCTGGCAGAATTGGCTATATATATGCATAAAACCGAGGCTAGATCCTTACTTATCACCCTGCACCAGAATCAATTCCAAACGTATCAAAGACCTCAAACTACTGTTAGAAACCATGAAAATATTACAGGAAAGTTATAGGGAAAGCATTAGCACTCCTAGGCACAGATAGAAATTTCCTAAGTAAAAACTAGATTCATAATGAATCAAAGAAAGAGTGGATGGAATTTTAGGTAAAAGATACTTTTGTTTAGTACTGAAATAATATGATTGCCTTATCCCTGAACTAATTATTTTTGTTAAACTCATCTACAAGTTTTATTGATAGTTTTACATTTTCTGCTGGTGGTTTTTAGCAGTTTTATGACTGGCACAATGAGGTTCTTTTTGCATTAAAGTTAGACATCCAGAAACAATGGATTGATATCATTTGGTATAGTCATTATCTTTTGTTTTTGACCCATTAAGGGCAAAAGCATGTGTTTTTACACATGAAGACAGATCCCACCTTATGTTTCCTCCATTCTCACTAGTGTTTTTCATCTGCACAGTCTTCATTTACATTTTCTCCTGATCTGCCTTTTAGTTTACTAATCCCCTCTTCAACTGTGTCTGTGATGTAATACACCTATGGAACAATTATTAAATCCTTAAGATAGAGAAACAGACATATAGACAGGTACATACATATACATCTACATTCATACATACATACATTTAGAGACCTCTGTGTGTGTGTGTGTGTGTGTGTGTGTGTGTGTGCGTGTGTGTGTGTGTGTGTATGTGTGTGTTTCTGGAATTATCATCTGGCTTTATAGTTTTCTGTTCTCTTGTAAACTCACTTGACATGATATTCTTCAAGTTGGCTCCAATTTCTTAAACATATTGACCATTATTTTAAAGTATTTCTACAATTTCTAAATCTCTGATGTGTGTCTATATGTTAATTCTCTTAGTTTTCAGTGACTTGTTCTTTTTTTTTCTTTTTTAAATTTATTGTGAAAATACAATACAGAGGGGTTACAATTACATGAGCAAGGTAATGAATATATTTCTTATCAAGCATTGTTACCTCCTCCTTTGTTTACCCTTCCCATCCCTTCCCCATCTCTCCCCCCTTCCCCCTCCATGCACGCCAAAGTTGTAAAGTTCATTTTTCCACATAATGTCTTGTACAATCTCATTGTTGCAATGGGTCTATACCAACATCAAATACAGTGAAAACAGGGGTTATACTGTGGGGGAGGGACATACAAAGCAACAAAGAAATCATCTTATAAATATGTTAGAAACAATCACAAGAAAGAAAAACCATTTGAGTCCTTATCTTGGGGCTCATTTTTGCCTAACAACAACTTATCTGACCATTTCTGCTTGTCTCAGACATATACTAGTTAGTGCAAATAAGGGAAACCATGGGACCTATGTTTCTTTGAGCCTGGCTTACTTCACTTCATATAATTTTTTCCAAGTTTTTCCATTTCCTAACAAATGGGGCAATGTCATTCTTTCTGATAGAGGCATAGAATTCCATTGTGTGTATACCACATTTTTTTGATCCATTCATCTACTGTGGGGCATCTGGGTTGGTTCCATATCTTAGCTATGGTAAATAATGCTACAATAAACATAGTTGGGCTGGTAGCTTTAGTATAGTCTTGTTTGTGGTCATTTGGGTAAATGCCCAAAAGTAGGATTGCTGGGTCATAAGGAGCTCTATGTGGAGTCTTTTGAGGAACCTCCATACTGCTTTCCAAAGTGGTTGTACAAGTTTACACTCCCACCAACAATCCAGTAAGATTCCTTTCTGTCCACATCCCCTCCAGCATCTGTTGTTATTAGAGTTCTTGATTATAGACATTCTAAGTGGGGTGAGGTGGAATCTCAATGTTGTTTTGATTTGCATTTCTTTTATGGCTAGGGAGGTTGAACATTTCTTCATGTGTCTATTGGCCATCCTTCTTTCCTCTTCAGAGAAGTTTCTCTTTAAGTCTTTAGCCCACTTATTTATTGGACAGTTGCTTTTTTGAGGATTTGTTTTTGGGGGATTTACTTTTTTGAGTTCCAGGTATATTTTAGATATGAGACCCTTGTCCATTGTATGGCTAGTGAAGATTTTCCCCCAATCCGTGGGCTTTCTATTGATCTTTCTAGGTATGTCCTTTGCCATGCAGAAGCTCTGTAGCTTCATGCAATCCCATTTGTCCAACCTTTCTTTGATTTGTTGTGTTTCTGGGTCTCCAGGTACACTGTGCTTGAGAAATCTATGAGGAAAACTTGAGACTCTAAATGGCTTTAATATTCTAGAGAGGATTTATGTTTTTCTGATGGAGTAAGATATATCAGAGAACCATAATGCAAACATGATTTTTGTAAATTAAGGTGTGATTTTTAAAAAATTTATCTATTTCAGGTTCATTTTTGCCACTAGGGTATATCCCTTTAAGAACCACCACACTAAATCTAAGGTACTTATCAGGCTACCTCTTCCTTGGTGGATCCCAACCTCTTAAATTTTTCTATCCATTTACCCTCAAAGACATCCAAAAGTTCTGTTCAACTACTTGGCACATGTGGAATGTCAGTCATTTTGCACTTCAAGTTTTGCTGGTTTTATCCAGTAGGCATTGTAATGGTGGAAAAAGAATTACTTGTCATCTTTTTTATTTCCAAGAGAGATAAGGGGTGTCTTGGATAGCCACCAAAACCCCAGAACTTCCTCTATCCTCTTCTTTTTTTGTCAGTTATGGGGCTTGAACTCAGGGCCTGGGTGCTTTTCCTGAGCCTCTTTGTGCTCAAGGCTAGTGTTCTAACACTTGGGCCACAGTGGTTAATTGGAGATTAGAGTCTCACTTTTCTGCCCAGGCTGGCTTCTAACCAGTCTTTAGATCTGTCTCCTGAGTAGCTAGGATTACAGATGTGAGCCATCAGCAGCTGGCTTATCCTTTTCTTTTAATTGGGGTAATTTCAGGCTTAAAGATCAAGGACACATTCCAAAAGACAAGGAACAGAGTATCAGGGTACAGTAAAGATTAGAAACATTATAGAGCAAACCTTCATCCTGTCATTAGACAGGGTCACTGTGCAATGTCAAGCACTCAAAATCCTGTTTACATAGGACAAGGCAAACAAACACCATTAATTTTCTGCTATCATCAGGCTTTCTCTGCATACGCCATCCACTCATATCTCTTGTACCCACTCATAGTTCCCAGGGGCTTTTGGGTCCCCATAAAGTTTATGCTGCAGTAATAGTTTTTCAGTGCCATAAAATAACTCCTTTTAATAATCTAACTAGTGTTTTTGGCTGTTCTTCATAGGAGGGTTATTCTGATTGATGACAGTTAACCTTAGACAGAAATACCTTTCTCAATGTAATGTTAATTTGCATTTCTTTCATAATTATCAAAGGGAATCATGTTTTCCATATGTACAAGCAATTATTTCTTTTATGAACTATCTGTCAAGACTCTTGCATATTTTTCTATTACATTTTTGACCTCCATTTCTATTTTTTGGAAGCTCTTTATATAATGACATTATCTATATTAATATGCAAATATTTTTGTTCAGTCTGTAACATTTAAAAATATTTCTCAAGGTATTTTTCCATCCAAAAACTTACTGTGTTATTTCTGTCATCTTCTCTTATCTCTTCGGTGTTATTCTACATTGCTGCCACCCAAGCCATGTTTTTGTCTCAATTCTCTTTAGCCAATCAGCACAAAAGCTGGTACAGCATCTCCACTTACACCATTCTGTACTTTAGTCCTGGTTTCTTCAATCTTTTTGCACTCTGCTTCTATTTTATGCCTTCAACTTCTGACCTCTCTACCATTCATCCCACCCAAGCTAAAGGCTGAGTCACCTCTCCATCATTGCTTCTGATGGTCAGTTTAATAAATACTGCAAACTCTTTGCACAGGTCTCTTCCTTTGAGAAATAACATGCTGGATCTTTCCCATCTTCACTTATGGGCACACCAGGTTTAACATACTCTCCATTCAAAAGGAAAAAAATTGAATAATACCATTCCTAGCATTTTACCTGTATTGCCAAAGTCTTTGTTCATCAAGTTAGGAAAATATAAAGAAATGTAACTAAGAAGTTGATTTGTAGTCATTTGGACATCTAGAAAGTAAATCACAATATGAACAACAATCTCCTTGTTATTATATGTAAGCACATTAGACAGCTTCAACCACCAGGAGTGGATGACCTTCCTGCAGCTGAACATATACAGAATCGGTCACAATAGATTTTAAGGATGTTAAGATCAGAGTCAATACTTAGGAATCCAGAGCAACAGCATTTAAGAAGATATGGAGGCAACTAAGTCACTCATGTGTGTTTAAACAGTAACAGGCAAACACATAGGTAGATGAATAAATCTTTCAGCTATTAGGCATGCCTGAGGCAAAATCAGTTCCCCCCCTCCCCCCCCCACACACACACCCAGTGGTCTGGGTCTTTCTCTTTCACACATACTTTTTCCTTAATCTTTCCTTTAAATTTAAATTGTACATTGTGCTGATTAAACTACATTTTCTTTCTCCTCTGTTACCAGGTTTCTAATTTGAGAAATTGTGCATATACATATCTAATTATCTCACAAATTAAAAGAGTACTTCGAAGACAGCTCTAAAGTATTCAAGCAACTCAACCCACTGTTTCCTCCTTTAACTTTCACTGCATGAAAAGTTGAGTCCCAGGAGTATTTTTAAATTGAAGAGGGCAATGGAGGGTGACAGAACAATTGGCAGCCAGGCTGTTATAATTCTCTATTAATCAGGGATTTTCTTCTTTTCCTCTTTCAGCTGAAGGCGAGGACATACCTGCTATGTCTGTGAAAAGCCAAGACTCCAGTGACACAGAAAATGCCACAGGTCCTGAAGGTAAGTTTCTGAGCTACCTGTGCTCAAACTATAAATCTGGTGTCTTTCCTGTATATAATGTAGGATTAGGAGAACAATCTGTTTCAGGAGCAAACATGTTTAGTTAGAACAAAGTAAATTTCAAAAGGAAAATTCAACTAAGAAATATGAAAAATGGCAGTCTCTCCTTTTTATTTTATTTAAACACTAGCTGCTGTTCATTTCTTTTTTTAATAGTCTGTGCCTTGGTTTAAATATATCTCATGGTACTAAAGGCAAAATGAGTAATTCCAAGACTAAGCTAGGGTTTACCTGGGGAGCTTCATGAAATATCCCTTACTTCCGAAGGAGGTATTTGCCTATCCGGAGCATTTAGATGGAGTTCTAGCTTGAATTTGGGATGCGCTTTTTCTTATGCTTCCATTGTTCACCTCCACACAGGACATCAGATATCTTGGCCAAAGATATAGTGACTCGTTAAGAGTGTCTCACAATAATTTGACAGAAAACTTTCTTTCTTTTTCTTTCTTTTTTCTTTTTTGTCGGTCATGAGGCTTGAACTCTGGGCCTGAGCACTGTCCCTCAGCTCTGCAGCTCAAGGCTAGTGTTCTACCACTTGAGCTACAGCACCACTTCCAGTTTTCTGGTGGTTTATTGGAGATAAGAGTTTCACGGACTTTCCTGCCTGGGCTGGCTTTAAACTGTGATCCTCAGATCTCAGCCTCCTGAGTAGTTAGGATTACAGGCGTGAGCCACCAGCGCCTGGCAACTTTCTTAAATCATTATCTACTATCAAAGGCACCTAAAGATCCCAAGCCTTGGGTATATGACTATCTCCTTGCCCCTACAGAGCCATAATGAGCACCTTTTGAAATAGCATTACTTTCATTAAAAAAGAGATACTATTTCTGCAGACACGATTTTTATTTCATTCCGTTGGGCCATATAACTAAGAAACCAGCCTTAAGTAATCAACTGTTGTAGTGTGTGTGTGTGTGTGTGTGTGTGTGTGTATACACATACATACATGTGTGTGCATGTGCACGCATACATGTGGATCCTGGAGCTTGAATTCAAGGCCTAGGTGCTGTCTCTGAGCTTTTATGTTCAAGGCTAGCACAATACCACTTGAGCCACAGCTCCACTTCTGGCTTTTTGGTGGATAATTGGAGGTAAAAGCCTCATGGACTTTCCTGCACAGGCTGGCTTCCAACCTCTATCCTCAGATCTCAGCCTCTTAAGTAACTAAGATTCAGATGTGAGCCACTGACGCTTGGCTTTGTTGATGTATTTTCTTTTTTTAGTTACTTTATTTTTTTATTTTCAAGTGGTACATAAAAATACAAATGTTTGAGGAATCATGTTTCAATACACATATATCTTATATAACATCTAAATCACGTTGAATATACTCATCTCAAATATCTTGTCATTTCTTCCTGGCAAAAACTTTCAATTTCCATTGTTCTAGCTTTCAGAAATATATAATACATTTTTGTTATCAACAGGTAACCTATTATGCAACAGCCTACCAGAACTACTTGCTTCCATCTTTCTGCAACTTGGTATCATTAATCAGCATCTCCCTCTCCCTGCCCAACCCCACAGACTCTTATCTCTGCTCAGTACCATCCCATGTTTAATATATTTTTCCAATATTTTCATTATCTTTAGGTTGTTATTGGAAGGAGTTGCCATTCAATAAAGCAGTTTATGAATAGTACATCCTGATCCATGTTACCCATTCAACATTCTCGCCCACCCCTCCCCTTGCTTTTCATTTTTAGGGTATCTGCTGACTTTGTTTTTTGCCATGTAACATACAAGTTTATGTATACATAAACTTGATCTGTGCCATGCTTTCAACATCTTTATACCCTCTTTCTTTTTTTAAATTTAATTTTATTGTCAGGATTATATACGTAAGGTAGTGATTATATTTCTTGTCAAATATTGTTACCCCCTCCTTCATTTTCTCCCACTTTCCCTCTCCCCTAATGCCTCCCAAATTGTAAAGTTCATTTCCAACATATTGTCTTGTGAGTATCGCTGTTGCATTGGTTCACCCTTTGATTTTCACCCTCTTTCCATGCACTTCTTCTTTTATATATCTCAATTCTGTGGCATATACACAATTTTCTATCAGATCAAATTTTTTTTTTAGATTATACAAAGAAGTAAAGCCATGCATTGTCTTTTTGTGCCTGGCTTATTTCTATTAACCTAATGGTTTCTACTCCATGCATGTTATCACAAATGACAGAAATCACCCTTCGAAAGAGCAGAATAATAATTCCATGGCATCTATGTACATTCCTTTATTCATCCATAAGCTAAGAGACCCATGTGTTTTTCTGTTTCTTGGCTACTTTACTACAATGAGTAGAAACATGAAATTGTGTCCTCAGCATAGTAATTTCATTTGCTTGGTATATATACCATGAGTAGGCTGCCAGGATAGAAGCTATACACTTGCAACAGTGTTCAGGTTCCATTTTCTCCACATCCTTGGCAGCATTTGTTGTCTTCAGTGTTTATGATAATAGCCATTCTCAAGGACATGATACTTTCTCTTAGTTTGAATTTGTATTTCATTAATGATTAGTGATGTTGAATATTTTTCATGTACTTGTGACCATTTGTTGTCTTCTTTTAAGAAGTGTCTGTTTGGTTTTATGCCCATTTTTAAATTAGATTGTTCCTTGCTATCAAATTTGAATTACTTCTAACCTGGACATCAATCACTTGCAAATATTTTCTCCCATTCTGTAACTTTTCACTCTGTTGATTGTTTGCTTTTCTTTGCAGAGCATTTTGGTTTGATTTAATCCCATTTGTTTAATTTGAAGCAGGTGCCAGTACTGGGGCTTGAACTAATGGCCTCAGGATCTCACTTGGCTGATTCTATTGAAGGATGGTGCTCTACCACTTGAGCCACACTTCCACTTCCAGCCTTTTGCTGGTTGATTGGAAGTAAGAGTCTCTCAAATCTGTCTGCCCATGTTGAGCTTCAAACCTCCATCTTCAGCCTCCTGAAAACAAGGATCACAGGCATGAGCCACTGTTGCCCAGCTTGTTTTCTATTTTTGTGGATTTTGTGGCTCTCTAGAGTCCCCCTTCTCCCCACACTTTTTTAGTTTTAGAGGGTTTCATTATGTCATTTAACCCATAGATTACACAAATATAATTTAATATGTTTCACTCCCCATTACCCTATTCTATCTTTCCCTTTTAATCTATCTTTACCAAACTGTCCCACATTTCTATTCTTGCTGCGTGTGTGTGTGTGTGTGTGTGTGTGTGTGTGTGTGTGTGTGTGTGTGTGTGTGCACACGCGTGCGTTTTAGGTCTAGATTTTTCATATAAAGCATGTGATTTTGTCTTTCTGATCCTGGCTTATTTCACATAAGACAATCTTTACTTCTATCCATTTCCCTTTGTCTTTTTTCACAATAAAAAATTACAATTAATCAAGCCCCACGACTGACAAAAAAAATTACAATGATGGGGTTATACAAAGGGGTTGCCATTCCATGTCACGTTGTGAGCATAAGCTTCTTGGCCAATGTTACCCTTTCCTTCACTGTCCACATTTCCCCCCTCCCATCTCTGCCCATAAGTATCATAGTTCATTTTTTACATAGTATATATTGAATATGATGACTACATTTGTTCACCCTTCCTTCCTCCATTCCTGTGTCCACCCATTGCTCCATTTACCTTTAAAAGATACTATTTCATTCTTTATGACTAGAAAATACTACATTATGGATATATGCTACATTTTCTTTACTCATCTGTTGTTGGGGACTTAGACTGATTCCATAGCTCTGTTATTATGAACAATGCTACAATAAACATGAGTGTGCAGATGAGTCCATGAAGCCTGATTTATATTTCTTAAAATATAAGCCCAGAAGTTATATAAAAATATGGTAAATCTGTTACTAGCTTTTGAGGACCTCCATACTGATTTCCATAGTGGTTGCACCAGTTATTATTCTGACCAATAGTGTTTAAAGGTTCATTTTCCCACATGCTTGCTAGAATTTGTGGTTTGCTGATACCCATTTGACTGGGGTGAGATAGTAATCGGTGGTTTTATTCTATGGCTAGGGATGTTGACCATCCCTGTGTATTTATTAACCCTTTGTTTTCTTTGACAACGTCCATTCAATTTAATTGGATCATTAGTGTTTTTGGTATTTTATTTGCTTTGATAGAACTCTTTATATATTCTGGTTATTAATCTCTTTGCTGATAGCTAGGAAATACTTTTGTAGTCTGTCTCTTCCTTGTAGTGATTGTGTTTTTTGATGTGCATAAGCTTGGGGTCCTATTTGCTTGTATCAGAAATGGAATTCAGGGGCCTCATGGTTGTATGGTTGGTGCTGTACCACTTGAGCTCCAACTTTAGCTTGGGTTTTTGTTGTTGATTTTGGAAATATGTGGACTTTTCTGCTTGAGTTGGCTTTGAACTATGATACTCCACATATCAGCCTCCTGAAGCCAGTGCCTGGTAGAAGTTCTTTAATTCCATGTCTTTTGTTATTCCTGATCTTATTTCTTGAGCTTTGGAGTCTTATCCAGAAAAGTGCTGCCAGATCTTCTACGTTTACTCTGTGTTTTCCTGTAGTAGTTTCAGATGTTAGTTAGTCTGTTTTTTTTTTAAGATTTTACTATATGGTGAGAGATAGATAGTGATCCAGTATTCAAATGTTGATATCTAGTTTTCCCAAACCATTTGCTGAAGAGGCAAAGACAATCAAAACTTAAATCTGTTTTACTTCCATTCTACCACCTTACATTGGAAGAGGCATGGTGGAGGCAGGCAGTCAACCATCTAGTCTAATTGTTCCAAGGTTCAGCATGCAGGTATTGAGCATAGTTAAAGTAGGGCTTATTAGGCCTTTCCCACATTGAATTTTACCTTGGCCAGCCCAGTACTGGTTTTTAAGTTCAAAGTCTGGACTTAATTTCTGTCCATACCAAGCAGAAGGCTTCTCTTCTCCATGCTGGATTTCTTAGAGTTGGGAGAATGGTATCATAGGCAACTCTCTCCTTTTTGCCTTGTTAGAGTAAAAGCAAGTAATGTGGTTAATCTCTTATCTGATTTCCTCAGTTCTAGTTTGTTTGTTTAACTTTGCAATTGTGAGTATACCATCACCCAAAGATCTTAGCCACCATCTTGCTACACCTCTGTTTGAGAAATTTTTTAAGTTTTTTTTTTTTTTTTTTTGGCTCCTATCTCTTGTGCCTCTGGGACTCTATTCTATATAATTTCTAATGTCTCTCCTACTCTCTCTTGCAAGAGTTTTGGGTCTTTAATCCATTTTGAATTGATGTTGATGCATTGTGACAAGCAGGGATCCACTTTTAGTTTTCTGCATATGACTGACCAGTTTTCCCAATCTCAATTATTGAAGAGGCTGTTTTGTTTTCACTGTACGTCTTTGGCTCCTTTTTTTTTAACCAAAGTAGAAAAGTGAATGATTTTGAGTTCATAATGTTCTTGGTAGAATTAACATGGCAGTTTTAAATGTTTCTTATAACACTGCCTTTAATTAATGTATGTACTTTTATATAAACTGACCTTTTACTACCAAGCATACATTTTCCAGTTGAAAATATTTCTAAATGTAAGAACCTTTTGTTAAAAGCTTCACTATATTAGAAGTGGTATAGTCAGGATACCATACCATATCTTTACAAAGCAGGCTCTGAGAATAAGAAATTTAGTCTTTACATAGACACCATGCCTTGTGGAGGAATACAGGCTCTCAGAAGTCTCAGCAGTAAGAAATGCATTTAATAATACTTTCCTGGAACTTATTTGAGTATGGAATGCTTTTTTATTGTAACATCTATTGAAATGTTTTAGACCATGTCTATTGGTTGTGAGGAGGAACAGAAAAAATTAAGTATGCCTAGATTTCATCCTGTGCACTCCCAAATCAAGGTGTATGTATTTTCAATAGCCTTGGATACCAGGTTGGACACGAGTGATTTTGCTCAACCTTGACAGAATTGTTTAATCTTGCTGATTTTCATGAGGTTTGCTAGGAGCTTGTCTATCATTAGAATCAAGGATAGTTTGCAGGTAAGGACAAGAAGAACCACTTGTAAAGCCTTCCTTGCTGAGAGAATTGGATGGGCTGCCATACAATGTCATCCGCACTTTCAAGCATCTTTGAAGTATGAAACGAGGATCTGCTCCCAATTTACTCTAATTGCACTTTCATGTTCAGGAAAAAGATTTAGGTTGTTGGATTATACAAAGACATCAAGATTACCCAAATAAGAATGAACAGAGGTTACCATAGTGAAGGTGTTGGCCATTATAATCAGTTTTATTTGGCAGATTCAAAGACAGCAGGAAAGGAGGAAGGTTCCAAATATACAGAGGTATTTATGTCATATATGAATAATATAAGACTGCTAACATATGTGAATTGATACAAAAGAGAAGATTTGTCTTGTTGGCAGAAGAAATGGAGAGCTGTTACCTAGAAGTGGAGATAGGAATAGGAAATTGATGATCACAGACCAAATCCTACCCATTGCCATTGGTCCTGGCCCCTTTAATCCAATTGTGGTAGAGGTTCGGGGTGGGAGTTCTGTTGTAGCTTATCTGCCATTGTCTTTTTGTATATCTCTCATTTTTCAGTCAGTATGGGCTTGGATGCTTTAAAAATAATCCATCTCATTAAACCTGCTGACCCTTAGAAAATTTCCATAGTGACTACTCAGGACTACTTCTGGAAAAGACAGTAATTATGCATTCTATTTTCATAAAAATGTTCAGTTAGAATACACAGTTGAGTACATTGTTTTCAATAGCTGTGTGATCTGGTTAGCCGTTTTGTTTTCCTGTTTCATGGTGTCTATTTCCTGTTGCTGTACCCACTGGTTTGCAGGCATTGTTTGGATTCTGAAACTGAAAGCATGGCCAACCAAACAGGTCTTCTGACACTGCCACTCTGGAGAAAGCTACTTACCTCTCTACATGCCAATGATCTGTTTTGCTTTGTTTTCTGTCTTTATTTTCTTAGATATCTATTAAGGCTTTGGAGCATATTTATTACCATCCTTACATAAACAAATTCACACTGCCAAGTTTCAACTCTAATATGAAGAGGCAGCTCAGCTCCTGTAATTTCAGAGAAGAGACAATCCTGCTTTGTCCCTGCCTCCACTCATAAGATACATATAAGAATGTTTGGGCACTGGCGGCTCACTCCTGTAATCCTGCCTACTCAACAGGCTGAGATCTGAGGACCATGGTTTGAAGCCAGCCTTGATAAAGAAGTCCAAGAGACATTTATTTCCAGTTAACCACAAGAGAAAAAAATAGCCAGAAGTAAAGCTGTGGCTCAATTACTGGACTTGTGCAAAACAAAACCAAGCAAAACAAACAAACAGAACTAAAAGATAGCATCCAGGCCCTGAGTTCAAGCCCCAAGACCAGCAAAACAAAAAAGCTTTCAAACTGAGAAAGGGCATAAGACAGGAAGTCAAAACAGTGGCTGCAAATAAGAGGCCATTTAAGAGCTACAGACTTAATGGTTACTTAGCTTTGTCTGTCTTCCTTTCTAGTTACAGTTGAAATGAATAGTCCAGTTGACAATGTAAATGACCCAACAGAGAGTCAGCAAGAAGATTGCCAATAGGTAAGATGCACCTGTGTTGGGATTTTTCCTTGACTAACCAGTCACAAGGAATTGTTTGCAAATAACAGACTTTCTTTGGAAAGTCCCATAAAATGGATTAGACCAAATATTTACTATCTTTAAACCAAATAACATTGCAAGAAGGAAAGAATATTTCCTTTCCTATCTTTCAGGGGTAAAAGTAAGACAAGTTATTTCAGGAACCCTGAGCATTGCTTTTGAGCATAAATGTACAGATACAAAGGCATATGAGTGTGTATGAACAGAAATAAGCCTATCTTAGGTCCTTAGGACATTCAGTCCTGAGAATATCTCAAGAGGGTCTCCAACAACATTTAACATTTCCACAGAGATTGAAGTACATCTAGAATGGTGAGTGACATATCACCCTTCCCCATGTCTTGAGAGAGCTGTTTAAAAACATAAAACTAATGAAGTCAGGCTCAAATTATATTAGCTGTTTATAGAATGCCTATAGAATAATGATCTGTGGGTAAGTGAGCATAATATGTCACAATAAAACCTGAGAATATATTAAAGAATTTACTTTTGTACTCTTTCTGATGAGCTTGAATTTCATGTAAAAGTAAATGTAAACTAGGCACCTTATAGTTCATGCCTGTAATCCAAGCTACTCCGGAAGGTGAGATCTGAGGATCTTGATTCAAAGCTAACCAGGGCAGGAAAGTCCATGGTGCTGTGGCTCAAGTGGTAGAGCACTCACCTTGAGCTGAAGAGCTCAGGGACAGCACCCAGGCCCAAAGTTCAAGCTCCATGACCAACCAAAAAAAAATCACAGCTGAGTTCAAATTCCAAGTACCTGCCAAAAGAAAAAATAACAGCATTTACATAATACATAGATGACATAGGAATTTATACAAACAAGGTCTTAAACACATTCCCATTTTGCTTTGTTCATGTATTTAAAATATTCTGCTAAGCTAGAAAAGTGATATAGTTCAGAAGATTCCATTGAAAAATAATGAAATGAAACTAAACCTGAACCATGCAATTGAGCTCCTCATTTTTGCTCTTTTGTTGTCAACAAGGTATGCGTGTGAGTAAATACACACACATACACACATAGATATATATGCCTCAAATGAATGAATTGTCAAAACTTAAAGTTCTAAAGTACTTAAGGAAGAAATAGACAAGATTGCTTGTGTGGCTAAAGGTTAAATAGTCCCAATTCAAGCTTCTTTGATCCCACAAACTGATGAGTTTCAAACACATATTAGCCACTCCAAATCTATGACTTGGAGAAGTTTGCAGATTCACATACTGAGTGAATGGTACAACAAAATGGGAGAAAACAATATTAATATCTCAGAGACTTTGCATAAGTATTTGGCATGTGCATTGTAAGTACAGATTATTTGAAACATACATGATAATGTACAGAGATTTGTATGCAAACACCACAACATCTCATAGCTAGGAGATTAGCTATTACTCACACATTGTTAATATGGTTGTTTACATATGCACTTATTTCAGTGTGTACAAATTTGCATATAGGAATGCATATGAGTGTATTTGCATATGTATGGTTGTTCATGATTTATGTATATACACATAAATTAGCATGTATTAACATGTATAACACATTTATTTTCATATATGTATGCACTTTTATTATATGCATGTATATAATTGCATCTGTGGAAGCATATAGGTAAATATATCTATTCATGCATACAGGAGCATATATACTCCCTCCTTTCCACTTAAATCCATATATGAAGTGATATATATAAGAGCACATAATGCATATATGTACTTAATAGCACTGCAGAGTCATACACATATGTGGAAATATTTATACACTATTTAAATGTATACACAAAAGCAAGTAATTTATGAAAGCATATACAGGTGTATGCCCATATGTATTTATAGATGTCCCCAAATATGTTTACAAATTATCAGTATGTGCTCAAACATGTAAATATTCCTATAGGGCAAGTACATGTGCACAGCCATTCATGAAAATTATATTTTATACACTGCATGTATTTTATGTGTAATATGTACACACATCACTCAACATACACTATATGCATGCATATTCGTCCCTACATTGTACACATTCATGTATGATCACATCCTCATGGGTGTATATGCTCACATCTTTATACATATGCCTGTACACATTCCTGGAGACTATTGTATGAATGGGCTTGAAGAAGCTAGACCAAGGGGAGGGTTTTTCGAAGAATACTTTGGACTGTTGAACTAATCATGCCCATCAGGTGAAAAGCATTGTCAATGTAGGGTACAGTTAATAGCACAGCTTTACATGCTCCTTAAAGATACTACATTGCTGCAGTTACAGCTCAGAAATCCAAAGCACTTCAACCATCACATACAATATCCCCAAGTCTTTCTGAAGGGTAAGATATTTAAATGGCTCTGTTAAAAATATTCCTTGCAAAGACTTACAAGTGACTTTAGCTATAATCTAACAAATGGTTTCTCTTTGTCTCTGGCAGGGGCACAAAGATGAAGCAAAGGAACAAACAAAGGAAGTGAAATGACAGTCAGCATTGCAGGGCCTGGCCCTGGGGAGTTTGGGAAGATGACAGCACCAGCACGTGCTGCCTAGGAGGGTGGGGGTGGGGGAAGGCAAGTCCCAGGGAAGGATGGAAAATCTTTTGCTCTAATTTTTTCAAGCTACATTTTGTTCTATTTACCTGCAGGAAAAAAAAAAAAAGAGGAGGGAATAGTGCTCTGAATTTGGCAGAAGGATCCACATAAAGGCATCTTTCCAGGCACTATCCTTGTCATTTCTGTCTTTCTCTCTCATGCCCTTTGCCCCAGGATCACTGTGCCATCATCTAGTTTAATGATCACATGTGTCTCACGGACCCTTGTCTGCTCTCTTGGTTATTTCACAAAGCTGGTTGTACAGTGGTTTCTTCAAAGGAAGAGAAAGGTGATGTCGGACAAGCTTCAGGCTCAATTTTAGGAACCACCAAGCTCAGTATAATCCACAGAGGAGGAAAGGTAGGAAACAGGCACAAACCCCAAAGGACAATAAGGAAAGGACTGGATGAGTAGAAAATAATCAGGGATTCCCATCATCCACCTGTTCTGTTAGTTAAGGAGGATTTAAACTCAGAGGAGAAACAAGAAAAGTAGACCTGGCAGCTAGAGAGTTCACTTACTTGGTTCATGGGCTCTTTGGCATGTGCCTCAGCATGGAGCCCTTGTGTGGGATAGTCTTCTTTATGTATACCCATCAAGGATACAATCAGCTAGTTGTCCTTAAAAGCTGAGAAAGGGAAGCAATGCATTTAGGATGCCAACCTATGCTTATTGGTTTTTGGACATCCCACTTTACATGATTTTCATGAAAGAATGCCTGAAGTGGGATGGCCCTCAAGCAGATTCTGACTTGAAGTTTACAGTTGAGAATTTCTAGTCTGTGTTTAAATGGGGGTGGTTGTTCATATCATGTCCAAGGCTAACTTAATGGCTGCTCTTTCATCTGAAAAACCACTGAGTCATAGCCTCAATGCGGTGCCTCAGTGCGATTAAGATACCAGGGAAAACAGAGGTCCCTAGAGGTTGGGCAACATCACAATTATCTTTTCAAGAGACAATCTAATGCATAGTGATTGCTTCCCACAACTTCCCTGTTCTAAAGTCATGTTCTAACAGTTAACATAGCCTACTTACTAGCAGGAATGATGCTTAAGTGACTTCTTTTTATTAGAACATAGAGACTGGGATGTAGCTCAGTGACAAAGCACTTGCTAGGCAAGTGCGAGGTGCTGGGTTTGGACCCCAGTACCAAATTTTCTTCCTGCCATTCTATAGTTAAATACAAAAGCATATACATCCTTAATGCCATTAGACATTGTGTTCTACAAGAGGAAGCAACGTCTTACTTTAATGATCCAAGAGATTTTCCATCAAAACAGTGCATTTTGAAAGCAGCTAGTGTTCTTCTGTGCTTGGCAAATGCAAGCTACTAGAAACTTGCTTTCCAGTGGCTCCCCAGGGTAATATCCTCTTACATCAGTGACATTTGAAAACAACACTAGGAAATTTTTTTTCTCACAATTTACCAACAGCTGTCCCTGTTAGGAATAGCCAGAACTGGAAATATTCTACTCTGACTGTTCTCCTTGTCATGAAATTGTTCATGTATCTTAAACGTTATGTGTTCAGAACAGGCAAAAGTTCTCCTAAAAGGAAAAAAAATACTCCCTTTATACCCAGGAAACAGAATGAAGAGTAAATATTAGCTCTATTCCTAATTCTATTTAAACTTCATTTTATGATTAGAGTGCATGTTCAATTTTTGCTTCATTATGATTTTTTGGTTGCTATTTGGCTATATATGTTAAATAATGAAGCTGGTTTGCATTCCAATAGTGACATATTTACAAAAAATCTAGCTATTGGCCAGATTAAAGGTTTCTTCCACATTGAAATTTTTTTTTCTTTTTTTGCTGGCACTATCATTGCACACAAGCTGCACAATGAAATACATTTGGGAAAGCTGAGTCTCCTGCACATGAATTCTGGATGTCATCTTTTAATCAGATTATGAACCATGGAGGAGGTATAGGAAAGGAAGGGAGAAAATGACCCTATCTTAGTCATGTTTGCATACAGAGGATCGAAGGAGACCTTCAATATAATAGTCCTAATTTAAAAGGTATTCACTGTAGACAAGGCAAAGAGAATTTTCCTCTAATTGGTAACTATTTAGATGATGGGCAAGTCTTCTTTCCTAAAAGCTTACCAAAAAAAGAGGCACCAGAAACACGGTCAGCGATTCTGGGTCACATATTAATCACCAACAGCTAACTGTAAATCTTTCTATGAAACACTGAAAAGCCTCTTTGTGAATTAATATGGTTCTGCTTGATGTACTTGAATTGAAAAGACATTTCTCTGTATGTGGTGCATGTCAGCTGTGCTTTGAAAAAATAACAAAGTTAGCATAATATGTTCAGTATATTTTCTTGGGGAATTGGGTTTTTATCATATGACTCATTAAGGATTTGCCTTACCCTGACATTTGTGATATAAAGGAAAATCAGAAAAAAAGTAATTTTCTTGATCAAGATATGTTTTTACTTAATGCAAATAAATGTAGTCTGTTGCTTGCAAGGAAAAAAAAATGTCTTCTGGTATAAACTGCTCAATAGGATAATATGTGCCTCCTTTGTTAAAATAGCCTTGAAATGCTGGACTGCTTCTAAATCTGTTTGTTTCTTCTCATCTGTGCCATACACTACGACACTTAAACTGTTGCCTTCAAACTATATTTGTTAGAGCAGAGTGAAAATAAAAAATGTTTGAGAGGATAGTGTGGAGTTATCTATTTTCATGAAACTTGTTCTTTAGCACAAGCAATTAATAACTGTTTGATATTATCTAGTTGTAAATATTTCTGCTTCAAATTTCTCCTAGAGTCACCTTTAATAATATTCAGTGCTTTGGACATGTTTTTCAAACTACACTCATCCTATGTTTTAAGTTCTATGTAATTAGCAATTACTTTTGAGCTGTAGACACAAGTTGAGATAGAACCAATGTTTCCATGAACATTGGTCTATCCTTTTGAGACAGGCAGATAACATAAGGCTTCAGGTTGTTAAGGTGACAGGCAGAATATAATCTCCAAACTACTAGAGGCACATAGAGACCTTGCCCCAGAGGTCTGTCCACAAGTTCTGATAAAGGATGTAGATAAAATTAATGGAGTCAGACAAACTTTCATAAAGTCCTGATAACTGCCAGGTTTACCTAGCAAAGCAGATCCCTCACCTACTAGGCATGCATAGGACACAAGGACTATTTGAGGCTATCCAATCTCTATGAAAAGATTCACAAAGCCATTCCTGCAAACCTGGACATGAGCAGATGCACATCTGTTTCATCAACTTCATTTGCCAACCAACTTAGCCATCAGTTTAAGCCAAATGAATGCCCAAACTCCACCCAACAACCAACTCCAAACCATTGTCCAAAGATCAGGAGTTACTAGATAACATGACCACCATGTGTATCTGCCAGGCTTAGAAAGAAGAAAAGCTACTAGTAGGAACCACCATTTTGAGTCTTTAACCCCTCATTTCCTATATGGAGAACAAGAATGGGTTTTTCCTGTCTTTTCCATCTCTCCCTACTTTACCCAGGTATGCCAAAATAAACCCTTGCTTTAACATTCATCTCGCAAGACTATCGCCTTATTAGAAGACACCCTGAAATTCTTTTCACATGAGGATCTCAACAACCTGTGATGATGCCAGGCAAATAAGCAGCAGAATGAAGCCCTTATTCACCCTCCTGACACTTTGGGGGTCACACATCCATGAATATCAATGCTCCTTGAGCATTTTTTCATGAGCTGGTCTCTGTGTTGGCTTACTAATCATGCCTGCCATGATCCTCTTCAACCCACTGTTGACAGAATTACACAACTGTTAAAAGTGTGGTGGACCACTAATTTTTTTAATTAATGTCCTTTTGAAAAAAGGAAATCTGTATAGATTTCATCAAATTTAATTCCTGAGTTATTGTTCTGGCAATCAAGTCACCTCCTCTATCAAATAAAGCCAGAGATAGTTTGAGAATAAGATTTTCTAAACTGATATACAAAAGAAACATTTTTCCAGTAGAAAACAAGGTTTGATAAGAAGAAAAAAAATGGAGGCAGGACAGCTTTGGACTGCAATGAGCAACCCCAGCACAATGCTTCAGGGTGACAGTGAAGATAATTTGGCACGAGTCTAGCACTAGTAGATAGAGGTTTGTTGTTGTTGTTTTTTTTTTTTATCCAGACCCAATTTCTCATGTCTTTCCCTGTCACTCTGTTTCTCTTCCAACATTTCTGCCCTTTTATATTTACCCAAGGTTCTATTAGCTGTGGCTGAACGTCACTGGTGACTCAGGGTTGAAATGGCTAATGATTCTCATTTTAAAAAGTTCTTCTTGCCAAAAACCTGACCCAGTTGTAGAAGGCTTCAAGAAACAAAGGACCTCAATTTTTTTAGTTTGGAAGATAAGTATATCCATAATCGCAAATACCTGAACTCCTTTAAAAATATAAGGTGCTGAGATTTTAAGACATTATCATTTGCAAAAGCTCTTGGTAAATTATTATTAGGTTCTGCTATTTAGTATTGTATTCAAATAACCCTTTCCAAAAATCAAAATGATTTACCTAAAGGGTAAATGCTCCATACAATTAGTAAATAAACATGAAATACTATTCTACTAAAGTTCATGAAAACTTTGTCTCCAAAGTAAGCACTCAGGCAAAGAAAGGTGCTTTTACAGGAATTGAAGACATTGTGTGTATGTCTGTGAGAGAGAGAGAGAGAGAGAGAGAGAGAGAGAGAGAGAGAGAGAGAGAGAGAGAGTCCTTGGCCTTGAACTCAGAGCTTGGCCATTGTCCCTGAACTTTTCTGCTCAAGGCCAGCTAACTCTCTACACTTGCACCACAGCTATATTTTTGGCTTTTTGATGGTTAATTGGAGATGAGTCTCACTGGCTATCCTGCCTAGTCTGGCTTCAAACTGTGATCATGAGATCTCAGCTTTTTGAACAGCTGGGATTACAGATATGAGCTACC